AATATCAATAATAAGAAAAAATATAGTCGTCGCCTCAGGAAAATACACTACTCCACCTAGACTATCCCCCCCCCCCCGCCACCTACACACAATATCCTGTAAAACTTAAGACAAAGCTAAATGTTTACAAATATAAAACAGAACTAAACACAAAAGTTACACAAAACTGATTTGAATATATTAAAACTTTCAAGGTCAGATCCTCATATAAGCTAACCAGTGTAAATAATAATACACTGAATTTAAACTACACTGTGTACAAAAAAATAAATACAAATCCATGCGAAACAAACAATATATATTTTATTTGGCCTTATAATGACTACTAGACTGCACTGGAGCGAGGTGACAACTCATACGGCAGGTGCTATAATAAATCTGTTTTAATCATGGACATGGGTCGTGATGGCGATTCAGCTCAGGATGAATATTTTGACTTTTTTCTTTTCTCGATGTGTTGCCGACGTGAGTAATAAGAGAGAGACACATGCAGTACAATCTACCTGGCTCATATGACCCCCCCGTCGGTGTGAATAATCTGCCTGACTCATATGACCCCCCGTCGGTGTGAATAATCTGCCTGACTCATATGACCCCCCCGTCGGTGTGAATAATAATGCTAATATAAGGTAGAGGGAAATAGACGGCCCCATAACCCGTGTATAGTGTAATTATCGCAGGGGGAGGGGTGAGGAGGTCTGGTCGTAACCCGAACCTCAGTGTCTGCTTTAACTCAGAGAAAACGAGAGAGAAGCTGACTCAGGTGTTTGAACTAACGAGTGTACAGTAAAATGAAGATGAGGATGGAGGTAGGGCGGCCGGGTGAATACAACGCTCGCCTCCTATCCTAGGGGTCGCTGCTTCACCCTAATGTAAATGGGAAATGAGGGAAGTTCGAGTGTAGCGCCACCCTCAATGCCTCCTTGTGTATCGAAGGCTTTGTGTGCAGTGTCCCTAACAGCCGATGGGTCCAACATTCACTGTATAAAATCAGATTCAAAATACAGCATAAGAAATGGGTCACCAAAAGTGTTTATATACCTGTACAAAGAGAGACAACAACAAGAGATAAGAGATTTGGGGAAGACCTGATAAACGTCGCCAGAAGCTGCAGTGTGAGAGAGATATTACCTGATGATCGAACACCCAAACATTACCTGAGAGCTTAGGTAAGGTTATTTTAAGAAAGGTTAAGTTAGGTATAGTTAGATTATGAGAGATAAAGTTAAGTTAGGTTAGAATGAGGGTGATTAATCTTTAAGTTGAGATATACAGGGAGGGGCTAATCTTCAGGTGATCCTATAAGTGATAATAATAGAGGTTTAAACACAAGAAGTGACGATTGAGAAGCGCACGAGACTTTAGGTAAACACAGAGGCACCGTAGACACTCTGGTAGAAGTATGTGTCATGGGAGGTGGAAAACATAAATATTAATAAAGATTTTAAATATAATCGAAAGACTACACGACGTTGTACTAGAAGGCCAATAAGTTGAGTGATATAAACCATGAAGACTTGTAATTTAAAACGAAAACAGGAAAATATTGTAAGAAAAAAAAACAGTAAGTGCATGAAGTATGGTGAGAGATGCGACAGGCTGGGGGGAGGGAGGTGTATCTTGCTTGGGGTGGGGTAGAATATAAAGTGTCAAGTTGAAAGAGAATAAATTTGATGTGTGAGGACGAGGAACAGGCTGTAGGCAAGCTCAAGAGTGTTAAGGCATCACAGGCATGTATGGATACACACACACACTTTAAAATAAATGTTAATTCTTGCTCTGGTGAATATCTGTTAACCGTAAGAATTCAGGGTTTGGTCATCATATAGGTCAACGTATTCTAAACCCCTGTACAGTAATTCCACTGCTTCTCATCACATATTCATGAAAACAAATCACACCCCTTGCTATTATTCTCAACTAAGTCATAATCTCATTTTTGTATTAACTCGCCTGATAAATTTCACAGGAATTGGCTAACTATAAAGACTGAAAGTTTGATTCTACAGTGTTAGCTGGTGTGTGTGTGTGTGTGTGTGTGTACCTCGGGGCCTAAATGCTGTACCGCGTTTCACCATCCCATTGCCATAAATATTTACACCTCTTGATGGTTCATTAAACTGTGTGATATAGCCAATACACACAGGGATAAGCAGGGTGGGTGGAGCTATGAACCTCTAGCTTATTAAAGTTTGTCTCTACAGCTACTGAGACTGGCCAGAGGTAGTAAGGTACTTCTAAAGTCAACGCGCAGGATGTTGGTCTCATTACACCTGTCATCACCCTCAATACACCTGTCGTCACCCTCATTACACCTATCATCACCCTCATTACACCTGTCATTATCCTCATTATACCTGTCATCACCCTCATTACACCTGTCATCACCCTTATTACACCTGTCATCACCCTCATTACACCTGTCATCACCCCTATTACACCTGTCATCACCTTTATTAGACCGGTCATCACTCTTCATCACACCACAACCTACAGCTCACCACAACCTACAGCACACCACAACCTTCACCACACTACAACCTACACCACACCCTTCACCACACCACAACCTTCACCACACTACACCCTTCACCACACTATAACCTCCACCACACCAGAACCTTCACTAAAACAATAATAAGCCGCTGCCACACTCAAAAGCCTGCTCGACCCGTGTGTGTATTCGACTAGTTATAAACCCAGCTCACATTACCATGGTCTTCTGAATCTCCTAAGAGTTCATTCCACTAATTAATATCATATTCCTCTGGTAAATCTTCTTATAACATCGCCATGTCTTGTTTAGGATGAATGGCGAGGGATATTTTCACACGATGCGCATTTACTCCCACTGGCAGCATGGGAACTAGTGAACGTCGCTAAATGAATCTTATGTCTGCGTAAATATTTTAATAAATCTTCTTCTGAAATCCTTTACTGCTATGTCTTATATTGGTTTAAATGAAATGATTCTCCACTGTTGATGACCGTGGGAATGATGTAAATACCTGTATATAGAAAATCAATGTCTCAAAAGCTAGAAATAAGAAATTGAGAAGAAAGGTAGAAACTGGGAGGTCTACAGTCACCTCCGCTACACAGACGACTGAAGCTAGCAGGTAAAAACGGGTAGAGTGGATGACAGAGGTACAGATTATGCATGACACGGGGAGCATACCAAGGGAATGGCTGAGAGTGTGTATAGTTGAGTGAAAGAATATTTTGATCCCTTGAAAATTTGCCACAACATCTTATTTCACCTTAAAATTAACCATTCATACGCTAACCTAATTAACCTAACAGCGTAATCTAATCTGAGCTAAGCTAATCTAAACTAACCAGATAGCATTAGGGTGTTCAATCATCAGGTGAATTATCAGGCTAATCTTGAAGATGGTCATGGAAGATAACCTGTGGTGTAGTGGTTCAGTCAATGATAGAGTGAAGCTATGTGTGTGTTTCTTTACGTCACTTGTCTCTCTCAACCCAACATTAACGAGTGAGAGGTCGAATAATTTAATTGGTGCAGTTGGCAAGTTGTCCGATCTTCCTGGGTCATACACCTCACTAATTCAAGATGTAGCTGTTGTGGTGGCGGCAGCTTCTAAATGTTACACAAAATTCTCAAGGTCTTTCGGTCAGCCATCTTTGAACAATATGAGATAACCAATGTACCAGCGAGAGATCAGTAAAGGTTAACAAGATGGAGGAACTATGTGCAGCAGAAGGTTGTGGCATTTATAGATCTGGAGGATTGTGGGAAGTACTCATAACAAACAAGGCGTCAGAGTGAAGTACTGGTGAATACTGTCTCAAGTTGCTACAGAGAGTGAAGCATGTTATATAATCATAATTTAATCGATTTATTTTACTATTTTGAAGGAGGAAGGAAGCGGGTGTGTCTTGTTTAATCTATTCATTATTACTATACAGTTTTAGTACAGAAGGAAAACAAAATAACCTGGAAATCCTGATATGTTTGGTAGTGACTCAGATCCGACCCAGGGACTGAACCCAAGCTGGAGTGAGAGGCAAGCGGACTAACTCTGAACCAACAACACCCTAAGTTATGTCAGAGAGAAGAAAACTGGTCACAATTAAAAGTTGAATTACATTAAGACTATGTGATGGAGACATGGTTTTTTTCCCTTTTTTTAATTTAAACAGATGAGTTAGTAAGAGATGTGAATATAGTGAAAGGAGAGAGGGGAGCAGATATGATTGACAGGATACAGGGTGAGAAGAGGAGGGGAGTCAGCTGTTGTTTGTAAATAACTCTGTTCTGGCTGCTGAATCACAAGGGAAAAACACAAATATTATTGAGTAAGTTTGGAAGAGTGTGAAGGGAGAAAGTTAAGAGTAAATGTGAAACTGAGAAGAGAGACGAGGAGAAATGAATGTTATCTTATGTGGAAACAGAAGTAAGATGTTTCAGGGAATGGGGTAATGAATGACGTGTTAGTAATGGTGGAATGTGTAATATACCGAGTCATAACAGCAGCTGAGGGTAAGGTGGTTATAGCTGCTTCACAACTGTAGGTAGGGAGGGAAGTATGTTAAAGGATGATTTTGTGTGGTTTAAGGGGATGGTTCAGTTGATGTTAGGTGATACTGAGTTGTATGGAACGAAAAGTAAAAATCAGGTGAAATATGGCACACCTGGTGTGTCACAAAGTGTGTTACTAAGTCTGTGACACGATTTGTCACTAGGTGTGTTACATAGGGCGGCGACAGTGGTTGTTGACGAGGTATATACTACTGCCCTGCACCAAGCGAGAGTAATGTGTCAGTATATGTATGTGGTCTAATGTTAGTGTGAACGATAACACTTACACGGGTTTACATAGTTCTTAAAACCTGACCAAGGCAATGTTTACACAGGAGCTCGTAAGAGTTCAATTTATGGCGTCACTAATTTAGAATTGGCGATATGTTGACAGTGTAGGGAGTACAGCCCTAGCATATTACATCCTGTACACTGTATATGAGTTCAGGTTTTCATGCCCGGAGCACAGCCTACCAATGGCACTCCTCCCAACCTGGAAAAGCAGAGGGGCACCCCTCCCAGCCTCGGGAAGCAGAGTGGCACCTCTCCCAGCCTGGGGAAGCAGAGTGGCACCCCTTCCAGCTTGAGGGAAGCAATCAATGGCACCCCTCCCAGCCTGGGGAAGCAGCGTGGCACCCCTCCCAGCCTGGGGGAAGCAGACAGTGGCACCCCTTCCAGCTTGAAGGAAGCAATCAATGGCACCTCTCCCGGCCTGAGGGAAGCAGCCAGTGGCATTCCTCTCAGCCTGGAGGAAGCATCCAGTGCCACCCCTCTCAGCCTGAGGGAAGCAGCCAGTGCCACCCCTCTCAGCCTGAGGGAAGCGGAGTGGCACCCCTCCCAGCCTGGGGGAAGCAGACAGTGGCACCCCTTCCAGCTTGAAGGAAGCAATCAATGGCACCTCTCCCGGCCTGAGGGAAGCAGCCAGTGCCACCCCTCTCAGCCTGAGGGAAGCAGAGCGGCACCCCTCCCATTCAAAATCGCTGCTAGTTCTTTTCAGTCCTATTCTCTACAACGTTTCTAATTTTTGTGTGTAAGATCTGCTCCAACAACTACAGTGCCTGGCTGAGGAGGGCAATGCTGGTTCATGTTTATCTCCTTAACTTTCCATTTGAGAGACGTCACTCGTTTCCCCCTTTTTTGAAGAGTTCTTTACTGACGATGTTTGGACTACATTCTTACTGCTTTTGTTTCCAACTCTTATCTGCTCATGATCATCTTTCTTGCCTTTGTCTCCCATAATCTCTTCTTACAGTTCTAAGTGTTTCTCATCTCTTGCCTTATCCTCATTCCTGTATTATTTCCCCTGTGTCTCTATCTCAGTCCCTCCACTTCCTTCTCCAATTTCTTCCTGGCTTCTTTCCTCTTCTTTATGGTTGGCTTTGCTTCTTCAATACATAGCCGTTGTTCTTTCTCTCCATTTTTACATTTTCTTCCCAGGCGTTTGACCAGACAACTCCTCAGGTCTGTCTACAAATCTTAACTTGAAATCTGCCAAACACTTTCTCTATCAGTGCTGCCAGAGGGAATGGTCGAAAAATCCCCAAATTCAAGCGTAGAAAATTCCCCCTTTTCTAATAAGTCTATTGCCATTTCAGCTTCCTGGAGTTATGGACTATGTGTATGATGCAGTAAATACCAAATTGGCATAATATCATAAATTAACTTTCATACCTTCTAGCCTTCATTTTCAAGATTTGATTCAGTGATACATTCCCTAGTTTGGGTTTCTTAAGTTCGATCTTTGTGTTTTAGCTTGATAATCTCTATAAAATTTACATCTATAAGCTTAATACAAAATTTGGGGGAGTATTTTTCAGTAAGTATATGTAATTTTTTTTTAACCCCCTGCTGGCTTCTTAACTTACCACCGTCACCACTATAAAGTAATATTTAGTACGTACATACATACATACATACATACATACATAACTTCTATATCACACACTATAAAGATACAAATCAAATATTACTTATACAACAACAACAACAACAACACTCACATGACTACAACAACTTGACAAAGAAATCGATCACAGTTTAACCTTACCAGCAATAGATACTGCGGCCGTAGAACAACTGAGTAGGAGACATAAAGGAACACGAGAAGCGAGCGTCAACGATACTACTCGGCCAGCACCTTAATCCGTTCAAGATGTGTATGTGTATTTAACGTCACTCACCAAGTAATTTAGTTTATAGGAAAATATGCCCAAATTCAGACCGTAATTCCCCCCCCCCCATTGTTATTCATAAATCCTCATAACTGGCAGCATTACTCACTACGTTTCTATTGTACCTTCCTCCAATTCTCACTTCGTCCCCTATATCTCTCTCCCTCTCGTCTCCACTTCCTCTACTTAATTTCCCTCTTCCTCATTCTTGATTTCTGTTTTTCCTCTCGTCTTATCACCTCAAACACCAGAGGCTTATGGCTGGGGTGCGCTGAGTTCCCCTGCACCCGCCTCGCTGCGCCTTCTTCCCCGCCCGCTAGCTGCTCTTAACAATCACCACCAGATCAATCTCGGTGCTGTGGTTCTCGTGTGCCACTGTCAAGCCGCTCCTTCACAACATCTCTACCACATATTGCCCTTCTCCCTTTCTATTGCCCTCACCATAATTGCTCACTGACTATCTGTAGTGGATTCCAGTTTCATCATGAGCTTTGAAAATTGCCAGAAAATAAAATATCAAGCTACAAAATAATAAAATAGTGTACAATATAATGTATGTAGTATAGTAGGGGGTATAACGAACTACCCAGTTTATACATTATGAATAAACTAGACGAGAACATAAAACTCACTACCTTCTTCCACACAAATATTTTATACAATCCTCTCAATGAAAAATAAATATATATTGATAATATAATATACACGTAACAAATGATTTGAATTTATACACACACAAAAGTTTATTTTGTGAATCGTGAAATATTGCTCCAATCAACTTAGTGACGTCAGATTACGTGATTTAATACAACTAGGGCAGCGCACAGTACCATGTTAACCAAAATATTGTTTTATATACTGTACATTCTTGTTATTTACAGACTTACATATTGAAGTACAGTACTTTAAAATACAATTGGAAACTATTATAATGGACAAACTTAGTGAGGTTATTATGTCTGATACTGTTAATATTATCAGCGTAGTATTATAAACACACTAAATAAGCGTGCGGTTCACATCTACCCGTCACACTAATACATTATATTCTCTACTTGGGGAGGAGATATTTATGTACAGTTTCTATATAAAAAAAAAATAGACAAGAGAGAGACAGTAAGTCATTGTCTCCTTGAAGATGAACTTGAAACGCAACCTCACGATGACTAAACTTAAACTCCAAATTTACTTTTTTTTCACGGACACAATCATCCTATCCCCCAAATCGGAGGCTAATGAATAATACTATACGAGCAGGAGACCTATAAACACGAGTTAATACAAGGTACAAGCGGTGTGGGGAACAGGGTTATCGACTGTCAATACTGATGAGAATGGCAACAGAAATACTCCTGGGAGGAAAGCTTTTGCTGCCACCACCGCGTCCGTCCGGCTGTGGCAACTTTCTACAACTTTAAATTTAAGAACACACGAAAAGAAACTGAAATAATATTATAAATATCATTGTACCTATAATGTGTAATGAACCCAGTATATTTTTTTGAGTTAAGGATAAAACATACCAAATATACTGTACGTTACATTACAGTACACCTTCCCCCAAAATGTTTCCGGTAACCCTTCTTCCCTTCCCAAGGAAACAGTGGCTACACCTAATAATTTCATCTGATATGTCAAACACATTTAATCATCTTTCTACATGAATATAATATTTGTTTTTAATGTTCCATCCTCAGATCATGTAAAATAAAGACAATATTTACTAACATATTGAAATATTACTGGTGAAAAAAGTACATTGATATCACTCTATTTAGTCTCATATTACGCTATTTTTTTCTTCTCATTACTAAAAAAAAAAAATAAAAAATCCGAGCTATTCTATTTTTTCCAACTCGTTCCCACAAACACACGATATTATTTCAGGCCTCAGTAACCAATTAATAAGCGGCAACGAGAATAACCCGCCCAGCATATCTGAACGAGTCTACAGTAGAATCTCAGTACAGTTTTAGGAGAGATAAAATACTAAGAATAGCTTCTGTGTACTGAAGGGATCAAGGATGTTCCTATGTGATATATTTGTGAGTTTCAGCGTTAATCAATTCCTTAGATACACTATGCCATATTCAGTTACCAGATACAGTGATCATACGAGTGTTTGTGAATCTTACTTTGGACTAACTTAATAAACAGAACAGCATAAAAAAACGAGACTACGACAACACCTGAGGAGATATTTGTACACTGTTCTTCCCTGTCAGACAGTGTCCTACAACTATCCTCCCTGAACAGTTGGTAAGATTTTGCTGAAATTTGTCGGATTCACCACAAAAAATTACTCAAGCGTGTGTGTGTGTGTGTGTGTGTGTGTGTGTGTGTGTGTGTGTGTGTGGGGGCAATAAAGCCAAGGATTTACTTTATCAACAAACACACAGTTATTAGCCTCTAGCCGACACGAAGGGAGAAAACATCTTCGGTTTAAAACGATGAATCTAACCTTTGGGGAGTAAATAACAAGACGGAAATAACCTTATGTAGAGCAATGTGGGGGCTGTGTAAGTGTAGAGCCGTGGGGGTGTGTAAGTGTAGAGCAGTGTGGGGCTGTGTAAGTGTAGAGCAGTGTGGGGGCTGTAAGTGTAGAGCGGTGTAGCTGTAAGGTAGAGTGTGTGGGGGCTGTGTATGTAGAGCAGTGGGGCTGTAAGGTAGAGCCGTGTGGGGCTGTGTAAGTGTAGAGCAGTGTGGGGGCTGTGTAAGTGTAGAGCAGTGTGGGGGCTGTGTAAGTGTAGAGCAGTGTGGGGGCTGTGGAAGTATAGAGCAGTCCTCATTCAACAGAAAATACTTAGCCCTCACCGAAAATAGTCAGCCCTCACCTAACACAATACACAGCCCTCACCCCACCACCACCCTGACTGGCAGTGTTGGCATTTTCATATACGTGGTGATCATTCATGTGTCATGCGTGCAACATTTTTGTCATATCCTTCATGGTCTGCACACCTAGTTGAGGTTCACCACACACTGTGAGGGGTAATTTTACCTCGGCAAACTGACCTGCAGCTGCGATAGTGGTGCTGTGTTGCCGCCAACCACTGTATGGTGGACTCACATTTAACGTTGTGTTGTAGAAGATAATACTACCCCAGTTGTTTACAGTTTTGGGATTGTTTAAAATAATAAGTATTTTTTTTATATACCTACAGTCAATAATTTCTTTATTTTCGTTGTGTTTAGGGTACGGTAAAGGGTCAAGGATAAAATTAATTTAATGTCAAGTTGATCCCGGTCACGCGTGTGTCTGTATGCACGGGACATTGAGTGCTAATAATCCACGGGTCTTAATTTGACTGTCAATGGAACAATAAATCTCTTTTAAATAACGTTAAATAAAACATAATGAGATTTTGAGGAATTTCGTGAAACGGAAACACCAGATCGAACTAAAAGTCTGTTGAAAATGTGGCCCTTGAAAATAACATTAATTTGGAGTGAATTATTTACAATTTCAAGTAAATCATGACTTCCTTTTTTTCATTTGTGATTCATAATATGAATAATGCTTTATAAAAATTCACTTGGTATGTTAGTTAATTCATATGCGCAAGAAAATATCTTTTGAGAGAAGATTTAAAATGAATTACTGGACCAAAGCCATTGAGGAGCAGCACGAACACCACCTCACAGGCGTCACCAGAAAGAAAAAATAATTAATGCAAGGAGTCATAAACCATAATTATAATTTAAGAGAATCAATACACGCTGTTTATTGATGCGGACAAAGAAAAGTTCATTGAATAAATAACTTAAGGGAAAATATCAAACCAGTAATGTTCTCAGTGCATTATGTATATCAAATGGAATCTAATAGCGTGTACATAATAGTAGACAG